AAATTTAATAATGTGTAAAATGTGGAGACAAGTGGTTGTAACACTTACTGGATATACACTGCTCAAAATAATTAGAGGAACAGTTATTTAAATCTCAATAACTTTTTTTATTTGTAATACTATGTATATAAATCTAATAATGCATATCTTAAAAACTAACATTTTGTTCGAATAAATTTACAAAAATAAAACAAATTTACATAATCATTCGTGAGACAATAGTACCAATTCAAAAAAACTACAAGAAATAAAGTGAAACATACAATCAAAATTTCAATTTAGAAATATGCTGTGCCTTGGAATAGTAAACAATGTTGACAGTTCAGCATAAATTGTAAAAAATGAGGCATCTAAGTGAAGTTGAAGTCGTTCGTGTTGTTGCTAGTATAGAGTATGGCACCAGTATTTGACAGGTTGCAAGAGATTTTAACGTAAGCCCTTCTGTCATCCATATATCGTGTGGAATCGTTACTTAGAAACCGGAGGATATAAAAGACGCATTGGACAAGGTACTAAGAGGAAAACAAACCAAATTCAGGACAGGTTTTTAGTCCTATCCTCCTTGCGTTCTCGTACATCCACAGCAAAAGACCTTCAAAGTAGGCTCAGAACGACTCATGGGTTGGAAATTTCCGATCAGACAGTTAGGAATAGACTGAGAAGCAAACTTAAGACCAAGAAGATCAGTGTGAAAACCTATTTTAACGCCGTATCACATAAGGTCTTGTTTACATTTTGCACGTGAGCATGTGGCATGGCAACTTAGATATTGGAGACCAGTACCCTTCACAGATGAGTCACGATTTCATTTAAGTCGTTGTGATGGTCGAGTACGTGTATACCAACGTCCACATGAACGCCATTCTTCAGCTACCATACAAGAAATCGAAAGATTTGGTGATGGGTCAGTGATGGTTTGGGGCGGAATTAGTCTTGATGAAAAAAACGATCTTGTCATAGTTCCAGAGACTCTAACCGCTGAACGGTACATTGATCTCATTGTAGAAGATCATGTTATACCAGCCGCTTATGGTATAGGTCCAAATTTTCTGTTTATGCAAGATAACGCAAGGCCACATACTGCGATTATCACCATGAACTACCTTCAACATCACGGGATTCAATCCATGGGTTGGCCTCCGCTAAGTCCTGATCTAAACCCCATCGAACATCTTTGGGATTTGTTAAATAGGCGTGTTCGGAGGCGCCCAGACCCACCTCAGGCTCTCCAACAGTTAACAAGTGCCCTAATCGAAGAATGGGAGAATATACCACAATAAGATATTCGTAGGCTCATCCGAAGCTTACCACAGAGGTGTCAAGCAGTAATTCGTGCTAATGGAAGACATACATGATATTGGTGAACCAAATCTCACCAGGACCTTTATGTTATACAGACAGGATTACAGACTCTTCACTTTATTTCTTGTAGTTTTTTTTGGAATGGGCGCTGTTGTCTCAAGAGTGATTATGTAAATTTGTTTTATTTTCGTAAATTTATTTGAACAAAATGTTAGTCTTTAAGATATGCATTATTAAATTTATATAGTATTACAAATAAAAAAGTTATCGAGATTTAAATAAGTGTTCCTCTAATTATTTTGAGCAGTGTATATGAGAAACTACGTTTCATAGTGGCAGACAAGTGTTTAGGTATAAGTAATAAGTGCTTCTTTCTCGTGTTAGTGTAATTCGAATACAGAAGTATAAGTTTGCTGAATAAATATTCAGGTGTACGCAAGATTAAAATTTTATGTACGAGGCAAAAACCATGAATAGCACGCAGTTTATCGAGTTTCATCCAATTAACTTCAGCAAATTTATTGCTCACATGATAAAATTTACGCAGTTCTGTAGCAAATCGAAGACATGTGTTTTGTAATAGTGCAGGACCATAAACAGTATCGGCATACGATAATTTTGAGAAGATGAGTGTCTCACAGAGTTGCAATTTTATTTTAAAGTCTAATATATGTCTTTGAGAGTAAAGCTTTTTGAGGATATTATAACTTGATTTGAACAGATAATTAACAATTTTAATAAACCTCAAATCAGAGTCGATTCATACACCTAAATTTTTCCAGCTATCAACTACAGGCAAAACCTCATCATTCAAATTGATATTTATTCTATGACGAATGATCTCTTTTTGCCTTAAACCCAAAAAGTATCATAGCAGATTTATTAGCGTTCTATTTTAAATTATGGGCCAGTGATATATTATGTAGTGATTTCAGATCAGAATTAATCTGCGTATCATCAGCATAATGATGTATATTACAGCTATTTATAAACGTATGAAAGTCAGATATATAAATTGAAAATAAAAAGGATCCTCATACGGAGCCTTGAGGTACTCCCAATCTAAGCGGTAATGGGCTAGAAATCTCAGAATTAAGTGAAACACTATGAAAACGATTACTTAAACAATTACATATAAAAGAGACAGCATTAATATTAAATCCAAAGAAATTAAACTTTCTACAGAGTAAGTCGGGCTCCAAAGAGTCAAACGCCTTACTATAGTCTAATAAAATGAGGCACGTTAATTTCTGGGCATCAGTAGCACGAAATATGTCATCAGCAATATTTAAAAGAGCGGTCGTAGTACTATGTTGTACACGAAATTCGAACTGTACTGCAGGTATTATTTTATTGCTATGAATATGTATTCTGTATGTGCACTAACTTCGACTAATGGATCGCCCCTCACTAAAAGCAACTTAATAGAAATTGAAAAAATTGGACAGCTGCGTACACTCTTTGTTTCTTGTGAGCCTGGGTCAACAAACGAGGCACTCATCTGGCAAACACTTTTCAATATTAGTTCTTCGAGTACTTAATACTTTTGAAAGTGATGCCAATTTGGATGTTTGGGATAAGTTTCACAAGAATTTCAATATCAGTTGAGTGTGATGATAGTGTTCCACTTTGTTGTTTATCATAAAGATTTTGACGCCCTTCAATAAACACCGATGAACCATTTGAACACTCGTGGTTCTATCCACATAAACAGAGAGGAACACTTAATGAATATTGGCCGCTGATCAATTTTTTGCCAATAAAAAACAAATAATGGCAATAATTTTGAAACTCATACAAAGTAACCTCTACCCCTATCCAAAGACACACACATGGTCGCTTGCCCTTCGGCCAGTCTCAAAATAGGGAAACTTAATTTGTGAACGAGTCTCGTAATTAGATAAATAAGTCTTAACCCACATTCAAAATACTGCCGCTTAGATTAATTATTTTTATAAAAATTCAGCATTTAAGAGATATATCTCTTTGAATGACTTCCTTATAAATGTAAGTTGATCTAAATTGTAAATAAAATCTAACAAAGGGCGAAGTTAAACCTTCAGGAGGTCACGCTTGTAAATGGAACATGATCGCGTGTGGACTGTCAGTTCGCAACATAGAACTAGAAATTTTTAATAACTTTCGTAGTTTAAAGAATGGCCAATGAAGATAGAATCAGGTTTTACTGTAGATAAAACAATGAAATTAGTTTGATTAATGAAAAAGAAATTATCTATTTAACTTCAGGATTAATAGATAACACGTTAAATATAAAAAAAGATATACAGATTAGTTAGTCACTGTTGCTTCTATTAGAGCCGTATTTTTGACAAATAGTCAACGAATGTTCCAAGAAGATATATTTTGAGGTAGCACCTGCCTAACCCACTGCGTCAATTTATCTTTAACAATAAAAATTGGGCTTAGATTTATACATTGATTTGATTTATACTCTCAATTAGGTAATATCAGTTTTCCGAGTCCCCAGTTAGTGTAATAACTTTCAAGACAATCATGTGCGTTTCTCTGACGAAATGTGATTTTTTAGACAACTTTTCGTATTATACTGTTTTTAAAAAAATCTCTACAGTAATGACAAAAAATATTTGTTCTCCACAACAGACCATATATACGACATGCAGCATATATTGGTACTCCAAATCTCTAAACGTCGTTCATTAAGTCAATACCAAATTACCCCACTTTGTAAAAGAAATAAATACTTAAGACTATAGTTAATTCAGTTCAATTATGCAAATGGTCAATGATTCTATCAATGATTCTAAACATGAAAACATGTGAAAAAGTTCATATAACATAAGACCTAAAATATGTTACAAGGAAGGTATGGCTATTTAAATATAGCCACTGCAACCATTTTAGATATGAATTTTAATTTTAGTACAGTTACTACAATTTTTTTAAGATAACATGGGTGTGCTGTAATTATTTACTTTTATTTTATAAACAAATCTAAAACAGGTTAATATTTGTGAGAATGAACATTATGATCCACTCCACTTGCTACACACTTTAAAAGTATTCTTAGAAAGAATAGCTGTAATATTGTTTACACAAACCCAGGGTTTTTTATGCAAATGGTATTAGTATAATGCTTTGGGGGATATGTGAATGAGTCACTCTTTTATAGAAATTTTCAAGTTCAATTTCCAAAACAATACAAATGGGTAGTTTTTAAATGAAAACAGTGTATAGACATATGTACAATTATTTATTATTGCATAATGGGTATTAGGACGCAAAAAATATGGAAGTGTTTTATTTTCATACCTTCTGCTTTCTTAAACAGAACAAAAATTTTCATTATAGTTATAATCATCAGTTGTCTTTGTTCATGGCAAACAACCAATAACACATTGAAATAGTTGATCCTTAATAAGTTGCGATATTAAGGAAAGTATAGCAAGTTTTTCATAAATGGGTACAAACAATATTAGGACTAAGAATAAAGACTACAAGTATTACGACTAAGAGTAAGGTAAGAATATAGACTTCCGATACGATTAATGCCAAGTCTGGCCTAGGATTTCTTTCCAAGCAAAGCGACAGGGTAGATCATTAATATTAAATGACTGACTTCATTCAATTTAAATTAGGTTATATGGCCTTTAAAATAATATACAACTCTATTTTAGTTCAAAAGTAAAAAAGTCTTAATTTATTTTGTTGATATTTACCTGTAATGCTCAACTGATGAAACCCTTGCATATGTCCTTGGGCTTGATCCATATTATCCTATATGGACGAAAATCTACAATATAAAAAAATTAATTAACAAAAAATATAAACAAAGTTACTTATTTAACACCTGTTTTCTATTTTACACATGAGTGATTTTCATAGAGTAACTAATTCAGATTATTTATAAGATTCAACACTAAAAATTTATGTTTTGACTAAAGACAAAAATTTAAACGACAATTAAAGATAGTGAATTTTATCAAGCTGAGAGATTAAATCTATATTAGTAATATTAAAAATACCATAAAAATAGTACTCACCAAACGCTGACGTATATTATCATTGCACAATAAAATCTAAAAAACTAGACAATATATACAAAATTTTGCATGTCACTTTTATAAAGCCACAAACTGTAAACAAGAGCTGTTTAAAATTTTATTTAAAAACCAATATAAATTTTCTTTATTTATATTTTATTATTGAAAGAAAAACTTCTCCATTACAGCTTTGCTACGCAGTGTAGGTAATCTAAATTCTAAATATTCAAAATATTATAAAACCCCAGAGCACGGAAACGCAAGTCAGAGCGTAAATCTACATTCCAATTGTTCAAGGTGTTCTATCATTTTACTCCATGGTTTTACTCTTTACTCAGTTCAGTGCGAACAGCCGAGCTGAGCGGACGTGTTTGTTTCATTCTCGTGCGAGCGGTCGAACTGAGCGGACGTGTTTATTTGTGAAGTGAAGTGCATTGCAACGAGCAAGATCTACCTGCCTTTATTAAGGCTACCTGGAAAGAATCCCTTTCTTTCCTCTTAACCGCCGACCTAATCCCCCAGTTCAG